GGACCCCCTCTGGCGCCGCCCTCGGCGAGCTCATCGCGCCAGAAATGATTAACCACGGAAACATCAGGGTAGGCGGTCACTTCTGAAGATGTATCGAACCAAACCGTCCATAATTATTATCCCGACTGCAAAAACGGGTGCCTAAGTGAAGTCACGTTTTCACTGCGTTACTAGAGTTATGGAATTCTTTTATTCTCGATGAAAGGGGGCAGGCCCCAGCGCAGATCAAAGAAGTCCGCGAGGAGCTGAGTTGCAGCAGTGTATGCCAGTTCCGTTTTTGCTTCCTCGACTGCAGGAGGTGGTGCATGAGCCTCCCCGCCCACAGGCGCGGCCGCGCCCCCGCGGCCAGCGCCACAAGCAGGTAGGCCCCGTCGGCCCAAAAGTTTCGGGCGCCGCCAGAGAGCGAACGCCCCAGGCTCAGGGTGCCCCGACTCGTATCTGGCGCACAGTCGGCCCGTATCACAAGGATACACGATAATGATGCCAAAGCGTTGGAAGGCCATGTCTGCATTCTGCGAACGGGGCGCGGCCAGCTGAAACGGACGAGGATGGGCCGAGGGGGCCAGGGTGCAAGGGTACCCTTGGGCAGGTTGCCAATCCTGTCGGACGTCGCGAGTTTGCCTTGTTGCCCGCCACCTCAGCCTGATAGGCCCCTGATTGAGCAGGGGCCGACCGTCCTGGCATTCGCATACTCCTACCACGAAATGATTTTAGCCTCCAAAAAATTCTAAGAACATAAACGATGTTCTTGGAACACAATTCCAACGGGCTTCAACAAGACAATTCCTGCCCAAACTGCGAACAAACCACACAAGGTTCTTAGACCATTCCTTGGCGGGCCTCTAAGCGAACCGAAACGCTTCGCAACTGCTCGACCTGAATTTCGAACGGGCTGGCACCGGCGCGCGCGCGCAGAGCACGGCGGGCCGGTACCCGCGCGTGCGCACGGAGGCGAGGAGAACAAGGATCCTGGGCTGCCCGCGAGACGCGGAGCCCCTGAGGGCGCTCTCGGCCTCGTATTCGGTCGGGCATGTCCTCCTACAGGCGAATGCCGAACGACAAATGAAAGATATCCGATGGATAATGGAATAGTCGAAATAATAATAAAAATAATAATAATCAAAATCATAATCATAATGAAATCGTCCCTGTACTATTTTCGACCGGTCTACCATCATTCTGACTGGGGTTGTTTGGACACCCCGCGAAGTCTTGTCACCTCTCCCCCAATCCTCTTCTGCCTTCGCACGTTCGCTCGGTCCGTCGCCCACGCACCATCATCAATATAACCGTCGTTCACGCACATCTTCGTTGTAACGCCTTCAATTTTTCGACCTTCGCACACTCAATCACTCAATCATTCGCACCATCATCATCAGCCAGACACTCACCATTCAACCATTCCATTACTCAAACAATCCCTCGCACTCAATCATTCACCCCTATCATCATCAGTCACACACCCACCACACACGATCGTAGCATCACGCATTCAATCACTCACGCACCATCATCACCACGGGCCTCATCATCATCCCAAGCACCGTCATCGTTCACATCAACCTGATCATCACTCGCATTTGTGCTGTCTCCGGCGTGAGCCTCGTCTTTGAGTGAACTGCGAGGGGGGCTCAGGCGGGAACCCTTTCCCTATGGGGTCCGCGCCTCGTGTTCGAGTCCGAAGCGGGCCATCGGCCTCCTGTAGCTGTTGTTTTTTTTGTGCCCCTGAGGCCTGAATATGGGGAAAATATACGGCGGGGGCCTCGTCTGCGAGAGAATCGCGAGGAAGTCTCAGGCTGGGGGCCCTTCCCTATGGGGCCCGCACCTCACTTGTTTTCTCTGGGTCGTCCTCTGGCGCGCAGCCGCTGGGACGCGCGTCGTGCGTTTCTTCTAGGTCGTGTTCCGCAGTAACTGCCGTCTCTTTTGGGTTCCCGAGGCCTGAACGTGGAGGAAGTATGAGGCGGGGGCCTCGTCTGTGAGTGAATTGCGAGGAAGTCTCGGGCGGGTGTCCCCTCCCTACGCGGCCCGCGTTTCGCGTGCTTTCTCCAGGTCGTCCTCCGGCGCGCGAATCCTTTGATTCGCCCTCTGGCGCGTAGCCGGATGGCTGGTGATGAGGACGAAGACGAGGATGGAAGGGTCGAGGGATAGGAGATCAGGGAGGCAGGGGAGGACGAGGGGGCAGGGAGGAAAGGGGGCAGGGGAAGCCCCATCGACCTCCCTCACCTCCCCCCCACCTTTTCCTGCTCCTCCTCTTCATCACCATCTTCATCGTTACCGTCATCGTCGTCGTTATCATCGCAACCATCGCCGACATCATCGACACAATCAACGCCGCCATCAGCGTCGCCGTCATTGTCACTGTCATCATCATCGCCACCATCATCACCAACGCCATCAACAACACCACCATCATCATCGACGTCAGCATCGTCATCAACGTCACCGTCATCATCACCATCATTACCATCGCCGTCGTCTGTAGTTGGGAGTGAGCGTAAGGCCGCGTTGCGGTCTCATTTCTTTCCGCCGCGCGAGGAAACGACGGGGCCGTTGATGGGGGGGGGCCCGCCACGAAACGCAAAGGCCCCGAAAATTTGAACCGAAATATATGGCGGGGACGCATGCGGACTGCGCCGCGGGGACTTTCTGTGGGGCTCCTATGGGGCCACGAAACGTGTGAAGGGTGGGCCGGAATGAATGGCGGGGACGCATGCGGACTGTGCCACTGGGACCTTCGGCGGAGCTCCTATGAAGCCACGAAGCGCTGTACTGGGTGGGGGAGACGCCTGCGGACTGCGCCACGGGGACCCTCGGTGGGGCTCCATATCGGGCCACGAAGCGCTGTACTGGGTGATGGAGACGCATGCGGACTGCGCCACGGGATCCTTCGGTGGGGCTCTGTATGGGGCCACGAAGCGCTGTACTGGGTGGGGGGGACGCATGCGGACTGCGCCACGGGGACCTTCGGCGGAGCCCCTATGGGGAACAAAACGCTGTGCTGAGTGGGGGAGACGCATGCGGACTGCGCCAAGGGGACCTTCGGTGGGACTTCCCTATGGGGCCACGAAGCGCTGTACGCGGTGGGGGAGACGCATGCGGACTGCGCCACGGGGACCTTCGGTAGGGCGCCCTACGGGGCACCGAATGGCTGGACTGGGTGAGGGAGACGCATGCGGACTGCGCCACGGGATCCTTCGGCGGAGCCCCTTTATGGGGCCACGAAGCGCTGTACTAGGTGGGGGAGACGCATGCGGACTGCGCCACGTGGGCCTTCGGCTGAGCCCCTGTGAAGCCACGAAGCGCTGTACTGGGTGGGGGAGACGCATGCGGACTGCGCCACGGGGACCTTCGGTGGGGCGCCATATGGGGCCACGAAACGCTGTACTGGGTGAGGGAGACGCATGCGGACTGCGCCACGGAGACCTTCGGCGGAGCCCCTTATGGGGCCACGAAACTATGTACTGGGTGGGGGGGACGCATGCGGACTGCGCCACGGGGACCTTCGGTGGGGCTCCATATGGGGCCACGAAGCGCTGTACTGGGTGAGGGAGACGCATGCGGACTGCGCCACGGGATCCTTCGGCGGAGCCCCTATGGGGCCACGAAGCGCTGTACTGGGTGGGGGAGACGCAGGCGGACTACGCCACGGGGACATTCGGCGGAGCCCCGATGGGGCCACGAAGCGCTGTACTGGGTGGGGGAAGACGCATGCGGACTGCGCCACGGGGGCCTTCGGTGGGGCGCAGCTCCCCATGGGGCCACGAAGCGCCGTGCTGGGTGTGGCGGACGCATGTGGTACACCCCACTGGGGGCGGGGGAAGGGGCAGGAGGAGAGGAGGGAGGAGGAGAAGGACGAGGACGAGACTCGGGGATCGTCTCTTCAAAAAGAGGACCCAACAACACAGGTTGGTTGGGGAAAAACAGCGCAACTGAATGGCATGCCATGCTGAGTAACGCAACGCAATGCAACGTAGCACAAGTCAATCGAAAGCAATGTAACGCACTGCAACTCAACGCCAAGCAACGCAAATCCATGCAAAGCAACGCAAAGCGATGCAGGGTGGTCAAAATCAGCGCAGAACAGTGCAACGTAATGCAAAACGATGCCAATCAGTGTAAAGAAATGTGCCAAGCAATGCGAATGAATGCAGAGCACTACACTGATATTGCGAAGCAATGCGATTGCAATCCAATGACGCAAAGTAATGCTAAACAGCGCAAAGCAATGCAGAGCAATGCAGAGCACTGCAAACCAGTGCCAAGCAATGCAAAGGCGGCGACGGTGGCCAGAGGGCGGCCAGAGCGGCCCGCAGGCCCAGGCGATGGGCGGCGACGGGAGGCGACGACGCGGCGACGGCGGTCACATGGCGGCCAGGGGGAGGAGGAGGAGGAGGAGGAGGAGGAGGAGGGGGAGGAGGAGGAGGAGGGAGGAGGAGGAGGAGGAGGAGGAGGAGGAGAGGAGGAGGAGGAGGGGGAGGAGGAGGAGGAGGAGGAGGAGGAGGAGGAGGAGGGGGAGGAGGAGGAGGAGGAGGAGGAGGAGGAGGAGGAGGAGGAGGAGGAGGACAAGTAAGAACGCCTGAGCCCCAAGTGCGAACGCTGCCTGTGAAATCACTCCTCCGAGGCCCGCGCGCACCCCCTAGAAGTTTTGCTGCTGCAGGCTATTCCTTCTTCGATCGCATCGGCCTCCTCGCCCCTCTCGGGCCAGGCGAAAGGGGGGGATAGCAAAGGAGGGGGTTGAGAATCAGCTCACGTAATTAGCTGATTTTCCCGGCGCCTCCCGGCGCCTTAGGCGAATATGCATCGAGGAATGGGCCCCTCGGTGGGGCCGAAACCAGCTGCAACCAGCAAATTCCATAACCCCCCTTTTCCCACCCCCATCTTTCGTTCGGCCCGAGAGGAGGAGGAGGAGGAGGAGGAGGAGGAGGAGGAGGAGGAGGAGGAGGAGGAGGAGGAAGAAGAAGAATACGGGCGACACCCCTCGGAGGGACGCCCCTGGCGACGCCCGAGAAGTAGCCCAGGGACCACCGGAACACCTCCGCCGCCCTCGCGCGCGGGGCGCCCGCGGGCAGCTCCAGGGCCCCGCCCGCTCCCCGGCGCGCGCGGGCGCACGCGGAGGCGGCGGCGCAGGCGCTGAGCGCGGAGTGGCAGAGGTCCACCGCGTCCTCTGGGAGCCAGTCGTGTCATGGAGCGAGACGACGCCCGCGACTGGCCAGGCCCTCCCCCCCTCCTCGGGGAACCGAGGGTGGCGCAAGCATTAAGGACTCCTCCTCCTCCTCCTCCTCCTCCTTCTCCTCCTCCTCCTGAGAAAACCGGCTCTAAGAGGACACAGTAGGGGAACGAAAAGTGACATAAACAGAAAAACTCGGAGGTCCACGCAGGTTTCTCGGATCGGCGCTGGGGCCCCCTGGCGGCGCCTCCGGCGCCGCCCCTGGTGCGCTCCGCGCGCCGGGGAGGGGGGGCCCGGCGCGGATCCGAGAAGTCCGCGCGTGCCTCCGAGTTGTTCTGTTTATGTCACTCTTCGTTCTTCGTTCCCCTGCTGTGTCCTCTTAGAGTTGGTCTTCTTATGAGGAGGAGGAGGAGGAGGAGGAGGAGGAGGAGGAGGAGGAGGAGGAGGAGGAGGAGGAGGAGGAGGAGGAGGGGGGAAAAGGAGGAGGATGAGGCCCCGCGCTCCCCCCTTTTCCCCTCCCCCCCGGTCACGTCGCGCTTCGAGCGGGCGCCGTCTGGAAAGCAGCCCTTCCGGGGCATGCCCAGACGGCGCTGGTCCGTTGCGAGTCGCGACGTGCCGGGTCCCCCGCCCTCCCCCCTCCGCCGTTGTTGCCGGTGGACAGAGCACCTGTCTCGAGGGAGCAACTCTTACCAACCTGGAACATATCCCTATCCCTATGCTGGGCATCTCCTCATCACGATGCCAATCTTAGGGATTCCCTTATTGTTTGAGGGCGAATCCCTAAGAGTGTCATCGCCTCTTGGCGTGTCAATCTTAGGGATAGGGATAAGTTCGAGGCTGGTAAGACTCCTGGGCTGGCCATCGCTCGGACGTCCACTCCGTGTTTTTGTCGGTTTCGTGCGTGGATTTCTCGCCAGATGATCAAGGGTGCTCCTCGATGGTCCTCGCCGAAGGAAAAATGCACACGTCCGAGCGATGCAGAGTGGGAGGTCTTCGGAAGAACGATGCTGGGCTATAGCGAGCCAAATGAAGGCTGGCTGGAAGCCTGGGGTGAAGGCAGATGAGAGGCGACGGAGCTGGATCGGACGAGACTGTGCCAAATCAGGCAGACTCTCGGCCACGGAAATCTGCAGGCGCCGCTGCTGAACTCGACCCCCCAGGATCGGTGGCGAGCGAGGAGGGAGAAGTGAGAAGGGGAAGGCCTTCTCAATGGTTCGGAAGTCCCCCAGCCTTCTGCGAAGTTTTCTAGGCCTTCCCCGAGGACAGAACAAACCCCTCAGAAGGCGCGAGGGCTTCTGAGAAGTCCCGCCGCCTTCTCATTTCCCCCCCTCGCTCGCCGCCGACAGGAGTTGCCTCCGCAGTCCTCGGCGGCGCCCACGTCGCCGCGTGTGGCCGCCAGCGCCAGCCCAAAGGCGCCCGCGGCCGCGGCGGCGCCCCGCGCCAGACCCCGTAGCAGCGCCGCCAAGGTCTCCGCGTCGGCGCCCGCCTGCCCCTCAGGAGGAGGAGGAGGAGGAGGAGGAGGAAGGAGGAGGAGGAGGAGGAGGAGGGAGGAGGAGGAGGAGGGAGGAGGAGGCAGGACAAGGAAGAGAACGAGGAAGAGGGTCGGGAGCAGGAGGAAGAGGAGGCAGGAGGACGCAAAAGGAGGAGGAGGAGGAGGAGGAGGAGGAGGGAGGAGGATGAGGAAAGGGAGGAGGAGGCGGAGGAGGAGGAGGAGGAGGAGGAGGAGGAGGAGGAAGGAGGATGAGGCCAGCAGAGGAGGAGGAAAAGCGAGGAGGAGAGGAGGAGGAGGACCGAGGACGAGGAGGAGGAGGTGGAGGAGGAGGAGGAGGAGGAGGAGGAGGAGGAGGAGGAGGAAGACCTCGGCTCCCGCCAGGCCCCGCCGCAGCGCCGCGAAGGGCCGCAGCGCCGCGCCGTCTGCGCCCGCCTCTCGCCGCGCGCACGCCGCGCCCTCCGCCGCGGCCTCCGCCGCGCCCGCGCCCTCCGCCGCGCCCGCGTCGGCGGCTGGGCGCATGGCTCCCCACCGCCCCGCTCTGGGGGGGAGAAGCCAAGGCTCGAGCCAATTTCTCCTCCTCCTCCTCCTCCTCCTCTTTCTCCACTTCCTCCTCCTCTTTCTCCTCCTCCTCCCCCCCCCTCCTCCTGATCCTCGTGATCCCCTTCCTCCGCCTCGCTCGTCGCTCCGTCCGCCCCGCTCCCGGGGGGGAGGGGGCAGCTGGAGGCCACTGGGGGGCCTGAACTGGGTGGCCGGGAGAGGGGAATGCGGCCAAGCCCGCCCCAAGACACTGCCGGGACCCCTCCCGAGGGGGGTCTGTCGGGTGCACTGTGTCACCCTGCATGGAGCCCGTGTTTTGTTCACTGCCCCGGGGCCCGGCGGAGACCCCCAGCGGCCGAGCCGTCCCGAGGGTCGGACACAGAGCTGGGCCACCGCGGACCCCCGCTGCCTCGTCGACGACAGCGACGAAGACGACGACGACGACGACGACGACGACGACGACGACGAGGACGAGGAGGAATACGGGGTGGCTGGGGCGCGCGGGTTGAGGAAAACCATGGCATTGCTCGGCGGGGTGGGCTATCGGGCCCCAGGTTGGGAGACGATGCGCTCACCGCCCTGAGCCTGTCCCCCACCCCCAGCGTTCCCCGCGAAGGGTGACCCAGAAAGCCCAAGGGACTCGAAGCTTACAAAGAAAATCATGGAGGTTTCGCGCGGCAACTTAGAACAAAAATGTGCATCGGATCTACGTCAGGGGCACGTTTCTGCGTCAAGCTTACATCGGATTCACGGCAGACTTACGTCGGAACATCTCCGCGCGAACGTCGACCCATTTTATCAAGCGGACGTGTGGACTGGATGATACAACTATTGCGCGACGTGCGCGGCTTCCAGCACTTGCCCCCTCGCATTTGAAACCAGAGAAGCACACATATATTAGAAGGCAACTGCTGGGAGGTATTTGAAGGCGGTTGCGTTCAATTGTTGGGGGCAACACAAATTTTTAGATGGACCAAGCGGGAGTGAGCGGGATCAGGCGGAATACGACAGGATTGTGCCATATTGCGCTTGTCTTCGGCAACACGGATATACAAACGCAGATGCTGAAAAGAACCTCCAATGAATGGGCTTCTTACCCACCCAGGCGTCCGACGTTGTGAGTTTCCGCAATGCGGCTCCCCAGAGGACTGGAACTTTCCCGGGACAGGCTCGTCATCACGGCGGTTCGGCGGTCCCTGGGGCCAAAAACGGCCCCGGAGCAAAACATTGGTAAGAACCTTGAGGTCGTGATTTTTGTCACGAAATCCCGCTGGATTTCTCGAACTGATAAACTTGACTCCCTACTAAACTCCCCTTCCCCCCTCTCCTCACCCCTTCCTCCCGCCAACATCCGCCAACAACCAATCCATCCTCCATCATCCCTGCTCTCCCGTTACTCATCCCTTGTACTCCGGCTCCTCCCTGCTCCCTTCGCGACATTGCCCTCCCGGGTTCTCGCGACGACTTTTGCCGATGAACTCAGGAGTTCGCGTGGGCCCTCCGAGCCACGTGGACAATCCGCCGCAGACGTCACAAACGGACTCTGGGGGCATCTTGGGACGGAAGGCTCCAAGTATCGCTCTGGGCTGCTGCGCTCGGGCCCCTCTTCGGACCTCCTTGGGGCGCCTTGGCGCCCCTAGGGCCGCTTGGGGGGCCCCATTGGGCCTTCTCTGGGCATCCTTGGGAGCCTCTTTGGCCCGTCTCGGGGCGGTCTTGGGGGCCTCTTGGGACGTCATGTAGCGCCAGAAGCTGGAAAAGTCGAGAACTCCGAAAACATTTAAAACGTATGGGAAATCAGCAGTTTTTGCCTCGCGGGGTCCTCTGGGGAGCCAAGGTCGAGTCCTCTTGGGTCGTCTGGGGGGAACCTTGGGACGGAAGGCTAGAATTGTCCTTTCGGGCTCTGGCTCTTTGGGGCCCTCTTTGGCCGTCATGGGCCCCTCTTGGGGCCGTCTTCGGACCTTCTTGGCCGTCTTGGGCCCCTCTTGGGGGCCTCTTGGACCGTCTTGGGGCGGTCTTGGGGGCCTCTTGGGACGTCGTGGAGCGTCGGAAACTCGAAAGTCGGGAATCCCAAAAACATTGAAACACGTATGGATAAGACATGTTTTCTCCCTCCTGGGGCCTTCTGGGGAACGCTCGTCGAATTCTCTGGGGCCGTCTTAAAGTTATCTGGGGCTGCCCGGTAGCCCCGCGGGACATCTCGACGCCTTCTGGTGTCTCTGTGACGCCACTGCAAGCCATGCTCTCTCTCTCTCTCTCTCTATCTCTGTTTACATATATATATATATATAGAGAGAGATGTGTGTGTAAGCATGTATGTATGCCTGTATGCATACATGCATGCATGTATGTATCCATGTACGTACGTACGTACGTGCGTGTAAATATGAATGCACACAGGCATGTGTATATATATATATATATATATGTGTGTGTGTGTGTGTCTGGTCTGGTCTGGTCTGGTCTGGTCTGGTCTGGCCTGGTCTGGTCTGGCATAGTAGGGTATGACATGGCACGGCATGCTGTGCTATGCTATGCTGTGCTATGCTGTGATTGAATGTTCTGTTGTGTAAGCATGCATGTAGGTAGGTAGGTAAGTAGGTATGTACCTATGCATTTCAACAAACAACGGCTCAAGCTTCGAGACCAACAATGGAAGCAGCTGTGGACCATTGTCAAACTGAACTCGGAGCGCTGTCAATCACCGCCACATGACCGTCCAGACGCTGCCCTCAACTAAGACCGATCGAACCAACTGCAAGACCGATCGAACCAACTGCTGGGGAGGACGATTCTGCATTCTTTTAGCTCGCGCGGCCAGTATGCAGGCGGGCAGGACATCAAATGTCGCCTTCGGCCTCGCTTGCCCGCTGGGTCGTAGACCCAGCATGGCCATGTTCTGGCGCTGGTGCTTTTACGGAGCATCATCCGCGGATGGGAAGCGCCTCGCTGGAGGAATGCCACGACTTCCTGGAGAAATGCCACGACTTCTTCGGGAATCTCCAAATTTTAACAACAACCAAGCATGCAAGCACATCCGAGAACATCCGCGAACCTCCTGGCGCGCACAGCCCTTGGGCCAAGAAGCCGAAGCCGTGGAGCCCAATCACACAACGAATGCTCATGAACGGAGAACGCCAAAGAGAAACAGAGGGGAGCACGCACATGCCCAAGAAAGGAGGAGAGGACAACAAACAAATAGACAACTGTATATGAACAGAAACTTCCCGACCTCCGGGCGGATCTCGAGGATCGGCACCTCACCCCCTCCTTGGTGCACTCCACGCGACAGAGGCAGCGAGGAGGAGGAGGAGGAGGAGGAGGACCCTTCCTCGGCCCTTCATCCAAGTTTTGAGGGTTTTTTTGTTGGTGCTCCCGTTGTGGAGCCTGGACCACTCGTGCTGCCATGAAATTCGTGGATCCCTGCCAAGCCCCCACAGAAGGAGGCAGGAAGGCGATCCAGAAACTCACCCAAGGTAAGCTTCCGGCAGGTCTCAAAGCCTGGCCAAACGGGCCCACATGAGGCTCGTCGTCGGCTGCCCTCACGCGGAGGGGACGAAGCAGCTGCCGAGGCGGGCGCGGGCGGAGAGGAGGACCCTTCCTTCACCACCAGCATTCCCAGGGGAGCAGGGGGGTCGTCCGTGCCCCGGCCGGGCGCCCGAAGCTGCCCCGCGGGAGCCGCCTCGCCAGGGGTCGCCGGCGCCAGAGGCGCCGCCAGGGGGTCAGGCGCCGATCAAAGGAATTCGCGCAGGACTCCGAGAATAGATTCCTGCCTCCGGTCCTTCCTCGAGACAGGGCAGGAGCCCCACAGGCCTCCGCACACCTCCAGGCATCGCGGAGCATCGCGGCGGGCACCCTCTCCCACAGTTCTTGAAGGGGCCCTGGGACACACGAATAAATGCACGCGAATAACTGGATTCCCCATATTTTCCCATATTTTCTGGGTTCTTGTCTTCCCCCCCACTTCCCATATTTTCCCATGTTTTCTGGGAATCGCCGATGAATTGTGTCTCTGTGTCTTTTCCCCTCCTGGAATGGGGGCACCCTGCGAGGCCCCAGGGTCGTCACAAGGACTCGGGACAGAGCGCAAATCCACGAGAGAGGGTGGAGACGTCGGGCCCGCGCCGCGGAGACCTCACGACGATGGGGGTGTGGAGTGTCTCCTCCTTTGAGGGGGCCCCAGGACACACAAATAGATGCACACAAATAAAAATCAACAACATATTTTCCCATATGTTCTGGGTTTCTGTCGTCCCCCCCACTTTTCATATTGTCCTATATTTTCTGGGGAATCGAGGATTCATTATGTCTGTGTGTTTCTTTTCCTCCTGATCCTTCTCTTCCTCCTCCACGCGTCTGATGGGTACGTCAAGCCCACCAGGATGCATCACCGCTTTCCTCCTGGTCGGCCTCCCCTGGCTGTTCATCTCCCTCTCGCCCCCTCCCTCTTCCTGAACGCCCCCCTCCCCATCCATAGGCAATGGACGTCCCCACGTCGTCCCCATACGCTTCGCCCCCAATTTCTAAACAACCGACGGGTTGACTGTTCCGATGCGCCGGAATGTGCCAGATTCGGCAGACCGTCCGATGCTCCGCTGGGGTAGTTTCCCACCCAGAACTTATTTGGATAGCCCCGGATTCGGCAAGTTCAAATGAGGAAGAATACGCACAAGGATCGAAAACAACATCCGCCTGAGATCTAGGGAAAGAGCAGCTCCGGCACCGCCGTTACTGGTCTCCAGACCTCTCCGAGCGTGCGTTCTGGCAAGGAGTACGAGGCGAATCCAGCTGTGGCGACGAGGGATGGGCATTGTTGTGGACCTCATAACAATGGACACCCTAGTGTTTAAGATGTTTGCCACATGTTACAAACATGTCTAAAACATGCTGTTTTACATGTTTAAGATATGCTTAAAACACGTTTTAGACATCAAGCACTCATTTGGCAACATGCTTCCTCTCCGTGGACCGTCGTCCACAAGGGTAGCTAGCGGCCTCCTAGATGGGGTCCGAGTAGATGGGGTAGGAGGATCGCGCCGCATCGCCGATCCATCGGCGATGCATCGCCGATGCATCGTCGACTCATCGGCGATACATCGGCGGCGTCGGCG